TGAAACTTTTTTTTTCAGTTCTTTTTTTACTCAGTCTCATTTTGCGCTTCTCGCCCTGTGATGTTTCACTGATGTTAATTTTACCATCAGAGTAATTGTGGGGTTGAAATTCTAACAGAAAAATCATCATCGAAACATTTGTCAATGAGAAAATGGGCTTTTACACGGCCGCTAATGTATACGGTAGAAAAGAATGGAGAAGTTGAACTGTAAAAATTGAAGGAATAGCTCGTCACATACCACATACTCTCTAATCTAACAACTGTGAGCATTCAAGTGAGCAAACATCATTTTGTTAATAGTTGTGTATTTCCTTTTCTTTTAAACTAATATTGACGCAAACCACAATAAAAATCATCAAAATTGACCAGATTCCGAAGGATTTACAAAGAACTTTATTTCTGTATTCTGTGGCATAGACTTTTTTGTATGGAAATAACCTAAGGATTTTCCTTTGATTAGCGAAACGAAAAAGCAATAGAGAAACAAACGTTTAGAGCACGGCGGCGGCGCAAATCTGAATAGTTCTTGTCCGCCTTTTTTCTTACACTGAAGGCGCAGCTGTAGTTTTTAGTCATTTAAGTTCATTTTCCGTTTTTCGTCTCTTTTGCCCAAAATGTTTGGTTGGGCGTGTGTGAATGCAACTGGTCTGAACACAAGAAAATTCAGAAGTTATTTATCACTATAGTCGATAGATATTTCTGAATACTGTTGTGTCCTGATTCTTGTTCTCCTTCCTCCCTACACACCTGTCTCGTAAATGCATGATCCTTTTGATGACTCTAGTTATGCTGCGTAAAGCTAAATCATTAAGCTAAACGTAAGCGAAATCCTCGTAGTGTCCTAACATCTAAGATTTTGCTAAGAACTTATTAGGAAGTCCTAGTCGTTTGGATCCTAATGGAAAATGAATAGGAAGTGCATAGAATTTTGCCTAAGAATTTCCATTCTGTAATTTTTGCAACGAAACTTTCGCAACGTTTACAGAAAATTCGATTTTCTGATATAGGAGTCTGCAAGCTACGTCTACAAACTGAGAGTCATAAGTACATGCATGTTTTATTTCAGAACCCACTTTACATGCCGCAGTTAGAAAACAAAAAAATTGTTTTTGAAGAAAAGCAACGGGTACGAAACGTAAATGATACATCCTTAATTTTATTGTTCATTTCTCAACCATTCTCTCTTTGTCTGACTGACGTACAATATATACTCTTTCCACAGCACCTACTTTCCTACAGTTTTCCAAGTCAGAAATTAGAATTTTCTGTAAAAGTTGCGATATGGAGTTATGCATATACTAAGATATGCCGTTGGTGTTTACTTTCAGAATTCATCCTACAAACCATATATTTGTGGTTTCAGAAGGATTCTGAAAATGTTTTCAATCGCAAACCGTGCTGAATAGCCCGTGAAAAGGGTTATAAGAATATGTATAAATAATTGACTTAAAAGTTTAGGATCAAAGATATCTTTTAACGAATTGCGACGGCTCCAACCCTCTGGAAAATTGATCGATTGTGCCGACCTCAGACAAGTCAAAATGAAACTGAAAGAAACCCGCTGTCGGATTCACCGGGAATTTCTGCATCTGAGTTTTACCCTATTCGGTGTGTCTTCACTTTTTCTGGAAACTGTTTTCCGGTTGGAAAAATCGAAAAACTTCGAAATACTCTAAAAAGTGAAAAAATCAGATTTTCAAACAAATGTCGTAATTTCTTCCCTTTTGAGTTTCACGTCTCGAAACTAAGTTTTTCAGATTCAGAATTGAAAACTGAATCTGAAAAACTAAGTTTGAAAGTGCCAGAACGATAACTGGATTTTTCCAAGGGTCCGAAACAGACACAGCTAAAAAAGCCGGATGAATTTTACAAACCTAACACCACTTTTTCCTGAGCACGTAGAGCCAATATTCTGACATGGTTCGATTCGTCGGAAGCTCCTCGTCAAAAGTATACGTCCAAATTTTTGAAATTTTGGTTCTTCGCTGAGATAATAAGACAAACACGTTCATCAATCATTTTATTTTTTTATTTTTTATTTTTTCTAAAAAACAATACAGTGAAGCTTTCGACTCCTTTCATAGGGGCATTTTCAACACTAAATTCTTAAGCAAGAGATTACATATACATACACTAAGTTTGAGGTTTATTTATTATTTGGCGAGTTTCTATGATCTACGCGCACTTAATTTTAATTAATGCAGAAAGCGGCTTCTTTGAGCGTTTTGCACTTATTCTACGCGCTGGAACATGCTTTAATGTGCTGGAACATGAATTTAATTCTAATATTCTCAGCTCAAGAAATAGTGTAGTTTCTTTAAATTTTGTTACATATGATACACTACGTCTTGCATTGTGTAACCATTGGTGTTTAATGGCGCCAATGAGACCGTTACTATAGGCCATAAGAATGAATTTTGCTATAAAGAGTCGAAAGTTCAAACAAAAAAGGGTTTCACCAAACTTTCACGATCACCAGAGCATATAGCCTAGGCTATATGGGTAAAAGGAAATCAAATAAAAACACGAGTCTCAGAAGTTGTGTTTTTTCATATGCTGTTTGACTGTTGTGCAGCCTTTCGATAAGAAAAATTTAATTTTACATACTGAAAAGAGAATATACTCAAAGAGTATATAATGTTGAGTCAAAACTTTTCGTCTCATTTTCTTCTTCATGTGCTTCTTTTCTGTAGTTTCTGTTATGTCACTTCTCTATTTTCATTTTCTGTCGTTGATGACTGTATGAGTTTATTTTTTTAGTTAAAAAATAGACAGGTAATGGGTGTTTATTACGAAAGGACACCGTGGGAGAAGGGCCAGAATCTGTCGGTGTTCTCACTTAGAAATTATACATATTTTAGAAGAGCTCTCAACGTTGGCAACATTTTGAAAATTTATCCAAAGCTTCGCGCCGAAGCTGAAATATGCATTTTGGTATACGAACTCCACTGTGCGACCTATCTATCTTGCTTAGTTCCGAATTTTTTTAGGGAAATTTATTACCATGAAAATCAGCTTCGTATTTTGCGTTGAATGAGGGGTTTGGGTAAGATTTTTGACGATTTTCTCTCCTCACCATGCAATTAGTTAAAAGGTAAACGCTCGAAATTGAAAGTCGTCAAAAAACTTATTTCATATACCTTTATCATGTAGAATCCAATGTCGATTATTATCAAAAAAATTTTCTTGGAAAGATTTAGAACCCATGGGAGATGGACCTGTTTTGAATGGAAACAATGTGTAATTCTGACCTCGGGCGCAGAACTTTGGATAATTTTTCTATCCGAAAACGTTTTTAAAAATGCCCTCCATTTCGAATTCTATCCAAAAATGTGTATTATTTTCTAAATAGAAACACCGACAGATTTTACATCCTATTCGGCGGTATCATTTATGCCCAGCCACTTATCAAATGAAATTAAAAACGAAAAAAACTCGTACCAAAAAAAACCAGCGGCTTTTTTTTGAGGTATACTCGAACGCGTGCTTATGGAAAAAATGCAAAGTGTGCGGTTTTTTCAAGAAACGCAAAAGCACACGTTTGAGATACCTCAAAATAAAACCGCAGATTTTCTATGGCACACGGACTTTGCACAGTGGGCATCCAAGCAGAAATTAGGCGAAAAAACTAATTCAATCTTTTCCTACATATAAATAGTGCAAAATGTAGCCCTTTCAATTCTCTATCGAATGGTGTACAAGTATTGTGATGTCGACTCCTTCAAGACGAAAAAGGGATTCGAAAAATGCATACGAAAAAGCGAAAAATACGACATCTATAGACAAAAACATGATTATTTCTTCATGTAGATGTGCTTAACGATTGTAAAGCACATATTTAGAATCAGCAGACTTTCAGCCGTCTAATGATATAACAAATCATAAACTCGAAAATGGTTTCCATTTAAAACAGCACATGAATTCTTCATAACGTTAATTCTTCATGAGACCACTTCAGTATAGTTGCGTCGCACCCGTTGGCACCACTCGAAAATAACATTTAATTACATCAAAATGTTCCTCAGACACTACTCTATCTGTACTGTTCTCCCAACTCTTCCAAACAGGCTTGGTAGATTTTCAAAAACGCTAACGGTTTTTCAAATATTTCGAGCTTTTCTCGGTCAAGAAAACAGTTTTGCTGAAACATAATACCATATTCGGGATCAGCGTGAAAAACTGCTGATGTATAGCTTTTTAATTTTTTTGCAGAAATATTTTCGATCAAATTGAATTATAGACTTGAAATAAAAAGCAGCAAATTTTGCTTAGGAATTTGGATATTTATTTTAGCAATAGTACACAAGTATATAAACACATTTTTTATAGATTTTCGAATACGATCTTTCGAATAGTGAGGTTCTCGAAATGGAAAAAATATTTTTTATGGGGTTTTCAGAGATCCGGTCTTCAGAAAACCCACAAGGAATTACTTTTGAGTACTGAAAATCTCATCATTAGAAAGAGTATATTCGAAAATCTATAGAAGAACGTGTTTATAGGCTTTCATACTACTCCTACAGCATATGTCCGCCTGCTCTGTAGAAAAATGCCCACTGTGCTTTGCGTTTTTTTCGTGTTTTTTTTCGGTCGCGATCTTTTCAGTTTTTATTTTTGGACATTTTTATCATTTTCATTTCGATAAAAACGCGTTTTTTTAAATCTTACTCTTAATGCGCGTGTTTTGAGTTTCTACTTTGCAGAAAACGCGATTTTTGACTGTTCTTAGTCTTCAATAAACGCGTTTTTATTCGTGCTAATTTTTCAAAAAACAAAAAAGAACACCTTTTTCATTTAATAAGTGGCTGGGTGCATTTTTATGTATAACTAAATCGATGTTTTATTTACAGAAGAATTTTTTAAAAGCACTTTCAAAGAATCTCATTCAGCCAGCGCCTAGAATCAGCACTATTGGTAAAACTCATTAAGAAATCGTAATAGATTTATGGTCCTAAAGTGAGTAAAAAGAATTGAAAGGTCAGTTTTGTAGAACATTAATTACATTAGAATACAGCATTTTGATTGTATAACAGTTGGCACGATTAACCGTCCCTTTTCAATTGTAGGAACAGCTTTTAGACTTTGATGTTTAACTGGAATGTGCACGCCCCTTTCTGAAGGTAAAATGTCATAATGATCGAAATATTCCACTAGAGATCGCCAATCCTTGTCTTGCTCGGTTAAGACGCTGATAGTTTGACTGTGATCGTTGACGGAAGTTTTGAATTTCAATTGTTCTACTACGGTTGAATCTACAACTCTACGGCCATTACTGAAATATTCGACGAGAGCTTGCCAGTCTTCTTCGGTTTCACATGAATCAAAGTCCTTCGTCGTGGTGACATTAACTAGATTCTGAGCAACACTCTCCTCACTAACGATCAAGCCGTCACCAACTTGAGGCGTTTGTTCATAGACAAAATCTGCCGGTTTATTTAGTGTTGTTTCAAAAGTTGATTTATCGACTTGACATGCAATATCGTTTTCGTTATCAGCTGAGTCAACCGATGAAAATCGTGTCCAATCGTCTAAATTCATAGACAAAGTATTTTCTTTCATATAACATACTTCTTCAAAATCTCTCATCGTTAACCTCTTAAACCAACTCAGCGGAATTACCTAAGAAAACAAATTAGAAACTCCTTAAAATTTGGATAGTATGTTAATTTTTATAAAGTCTTTAACTTACACTATCGAGACCTTCCATAATGTTTAGAAGTTGAGATTCTACTGGTTTAATGAGGTCTACACTGTAGATCATATCCAATAATTCTGAATTCAAATCGAGCTTGAGAGCAAAGGCAATCACGTAGTAAAAAATTGGAAATTGAAATTCAATTTGTACTTTATGAAAAATAATCATTCCAATGTAACGTCCAAGAAAGCTAAAAAAAATTAACATCTTACAGAAAGTTAGTAAATGATGAACGGCCTAGAGATATCTTACCTGTAATAATTAGTGTGTTGAAAATCTGGATTTATTAATATGTAATCACGAGTACGATAGGTTATAAAAGTGAACATTTCCATTTGACACATTTCACAAAAAATCTCTTCATACCAATTCCAGTCGGTTGTTATACCTTCGGCTAAAGATGACAGAATAAACTTTTTTTTGTCTGTTTTTTAAAATGAGTATGCAACAGAGTATTCAAGCTTCTCTAGGACTGTACAGTTAAAATCAAGTTCAACTGTACCGTTAAAATCAAGTTCAATTTATTGTGATAATTCATGAATATGTAAGAAGTGAAAGAAAGGAAAAAATTGATAGTTCATTTCCTGTGAAGGTAACGCACAGATAACTTTATTCCTACTTGAAGGAAGCGTCTCATGTCTGGTGAAACTAAATTTTCCATAAAAGCGTTTGAGCGTTCTACAAAAAGTAATATTCGAAGCTTTAATTTTTTGAAAGCAACTCTAATCCAACACTTTTTCGAATGGTGTATAAATGTCTATTTTGATATTCACTTCTTCAAGAAGAAAACCCGGCAACAATAGCTGTATAATAGATATCAAAGAATGGGGCACATGCTCATAAAATCTTGATTAATACTTTGATCACATATGCTAGACAATTTCAAAGCAATTATTCAGAATCAGCAGCTCATCGGCTATCTATCAATATGAAAATATGTGTACTTCGCAATAGAATTCTATAAATAACGTTGTATGGAATTTACTCAGTGGTAGTCCAGTTTGACTCTATCTCAAAGCAGTGACATCGCTCAAAATCGCT